TGTGTGTGTGTGTGTGTGGGTGTGTGTGTGTGCACGTGGTGAACATCAAACCAATGTACCAAGATCTGGACAATAAAGATGTATCTTGCAACACAAAATAGGTCACATAAGTGTCGAAGATTAGAGGTGTCCCTAAACGGTAACATACATAGAAAAAATAAGGAGGAGAGATGAGAATGATAGATGTTTGATTGGAAAGAAAGAGCAAACCACATTAGAATAGCCTCCACTACCCATACCATGCATATGTACTATCTAGGTGTAGACAAGACGGATCGATTCATGCCCCGTCTGATTCACCGCTCCCTCCATCACTTATTCATTCAGCCTGCAAATACACACCATGGGTGTACTGGTCAAAACAAATGGGCATCATTTTAGGCTGACCGATTTTCGTTCCTTTCTCCCTCCCCCCCTCCCCCCTCTCCAAATAGAAATAATTTATATCGTTTAAGAGGCGGGCGTTTGAATTTGAGGGGGGGGGGGCTGGTTGTTGTTTTTTTTCTTAAGAGTTTTACGGCACTTGCAACACAATAATGTCATATAAGTGCCGAAGATTAGAGGTGTAACAAGGGAGTAACAAACATAAAAAGAAGGAGGGCAGATAAAGGAACAAACCACACCAGAGCACCCGCCAACCACCCACAAATTTGAGTTTGAGAAATGAGAGACGCATCGACATAACAACAGTGGTACATGTATAATGCTGGGGAGAAGCAAGTCAGATAGACAGAAACAACAGAGGGGGGGAAAGTAGCGGAACCTACCAGTGGCGCCCTTCAAACACCCACGAGAAGGCGGGCGTCGGTCCCAGCCTGTCAAGGCCAACCCGGGCTGTGAAGGATACAACATCCCAGCAATAAGACCGACACACTCGATAAAAATGTCTCCCCACACGGGAATCGAACTTGGGTCTCTGGCATGAGACCGCAAAACTCCTGACCGCTACACCACAGACGCCGGTATCATGACTGTCTCCCCGCACACGGGAGAGAACTGGATAGAGGTAATCAGCGATCTGTACATGCCCATAACTTAACCAGGCGAACAGTGACGTCACCAATCTCGCATCGATCTGGATCAATCGACTCCCACTAATCTACATAATATTCGGGGAGAGGACACGACTATAACATTATAGCGTGTAGTCACGGACAAGCGGCCGGGTTACCACAAGTTTTTTTTAGTTTTAGTTTTAGTAAGAGTTTTACAGCACTTGCAACACAATAAAGTGCCGAAGAATAGATTACGTGTAACAAGAGAGTAACATACACAAAAAAGAAGGAGGGGAGATAAGAACGATATGTTTGATAGGAAAGAAGGAGCAAACCACACCAGAGTATCCGCCAACCACAAACTACCACAAGTTTTTAGTTTTAGTTTTAGTAGAGGTTTTACGGCGCTCGCAACTGCCTGGGGTCATATGAGCGCCAGAAGATTAGAGGTGTTACAAGAGAGTAACAAACGTAAAAAAGAAAAGGGGGAGATAAAGACGATAGATGTTTTATAGGAAAGAAGGAGCAAACAACGTCAGAGCACCCGCCAACCACCCACTACCACAAGTTAACCCAGAGTGTAATTTTGAAACTGCAAAAAGAAGGAGGCACTGTATTAAGTTTAAGTACATTGTACGTAGAAGCATAGGTGTTGTGTCCCTATCAACATTAGTGTAAGGTTAATGAACAAGCAAGGTTAATGAACACGCAAGACCTCCGAATTTAACGTCCATCTCCGATAATCCCTAGCCAAAAAAAGGTTTAAAACGCCCCTTCGGATATTCGAACCAGAGCCATCTGCACTTAAGTGCCGGAAATTAGAGGTATTACTGGAGAGTATCATACAAAGAAAAGATGGGAGACAGATTCTATAAACACTACAGACGTTTGATGGTAAAGAAGGAGCAAACTACACCAGACCGCCCACCAACCACCCAGACAACGACTTTTCTTTGTGAGAATGGCGACATGTGGTTTATAGAGCCTTCTTTAATATAAGAGGACACCTTTATCTCGGGAGTGACGTGTCAACAACATCGTCATCATTGTGAACGCCTATGGTATCACCTGAGACATAGGTCGGCGACAAGAGCTCTCCAAGCATCTCGATCCTGGGACAGTTTCTCAAGCTGTTGACCCCAAATACAGCATCCCAGGAGAAACACAGAGATACTCTATAAAAAATAACCCCCCATTCGACAATCTAACTCGGATCTCCTGTGTGCAACTGCAAAGTGCCTAACTGTTATATAACAGCAGACGTCGGCCCAGCGCATTCAAGAAATCCTTATGAGACATGTGTTAATACCTGAACTCTCTTTGTGATTAAGGCAGTGGTTCCCCACATCTCATTTAATGCGTCATGCAATCATTGGGTCGAAATGTGTCTCGACGTACGGTTGACTTTAGACGTGCCACGCCATTATTGACACAATTTAGACCATTAGAGTGGCAGGTGACGCAGAAAGACGGACATGT